AGATCAAAAAGTCGTTTAAAGAATATCATCTCAAAACGAAGGATGTCGCCATGGTTTTCAAAGTCGGAGTAGAGAAATGGAAAAACATGTTTAAAGAAATGAAAGAATCTTTATATTGAAAAATATTCAGTTGAAGAAACAAAAGTACAATAAGTCTATATCATCATACAACAAACTAAAACAAAAGCAGTACAATGAAAACGACAAGAAGTAAACACATAAGGAATTGAGTAAGGCGATTGTGAAAAATTCAAAGTCAAAGAAGTACACAAAAGTTGTGAGAACCAAACCAACCTAAAGAGTTCATCAATTAACTTCTTCATCTTCCTTGATGAGTTCAAGAAATCGTCTAAGGAAGATAGTTTCAAGGCAAAGAGTGTCGTCCTGGTTGACAAAGCAACATGAAGAAATTGAAAAAACAGCTTCAAATTTGAGAAGTATCTCTACATTGATGAGACTCAATACAAGAAGTTGGAAAACAATAAATCTATGTTATCTTACAACAAACAGAAGCAGTACAATGAAAAGTACGACAAGGAATCACCTCAAAATTGGAGTGAGGCTTTAGTATTTAGGGCTAAGTACTTAGGATTTACGATTAAAAGAATTGGAAATACATATCTAAATTTGAGAAGACTTACTACAATTACAAGACACACATATGAGCAATAGTACAATAAGTCTATGTCAATTCACAACAAGCAAAAGTAGGATGATGAAGAGTACAACAAATAAACATTTGAAAATCAAGTGAAATTTTAGAATTTAAGCTTTACAACTAAGGTCTTAGAACTTTGAGAGCGATTAACGAGATAGTACCTGAGAAATCAAATGAGGATTTAGGTTTTGGAATTTAGAGTATAGGGTTTAGAGTTTATGATGTAGTATTTAGGATTTAGTATGTAAAATTTAGGATTTAGAAAAATGAAAAGACATTTTTGAATTTGATGCGACTTCCTATATTGATGCTCAACCAAATAAGCAAGAGTACGATAAGTCTTAGGTTTAGAGTTTAATTGATTTCTCCATCTTTCTTCATGATTTGAAGAGTTAATTTAAGTAAGATCAACTCAAGTCAAAGATGATTGCTGTGATATTAAAAGCCAAAGAAGAAGATTGGAAAGAAATTTTTGAATTCAAAATTTTTTTTGCTGATGACAATGTTTAAAAGAAGAATTAAGAGTATGATACGTCTATGTAAATTTACAACAAGCAATAATAAGATAATGAGAAGAATGGCGAGAGAACACTTGAGGAATCGAGTTTGAGTATTGTCAAAGACGCAAAGTCAAAGATCCAACGGAAGTTAAAGAAGGTCACTAAATCAACCAAAAACCAAATCAACCGACTTCTTCAACTTTTTTGATGAGATCAAATAGAAGTTGAAGTAAGATCATCTCGAGTCAAAGAATGTTTCCGTGGTTGTCAAAGTCGGTGTCTCAATTTGAAATGAGTACAATAAATCTATGTGAACTTACAACAAGCAAAAGCAAGACAATGAATAGTACGACGAGGAAATAGTGAAAAATTGAGTAAGATTTTAGGTTTTAGGACTTAGGGCTTAGAGCTTAGGGTTTAGGTAAATGAAAGAGAAATCTTAATTCACAAACTCTTAGTACATTTACCAGGCTCAATAGAAGAAGCAACAGTACGATAAGTCTGTGACAACTTACAATAAAAAGAAACAAGATAATGAAAAGAATGACACATATACAACTAAAAAATTGAGTAAATTTGTTATGAACGACAAAAAGTTAAAAAGTCAACGGAAGTTCAAAAGGTCACAAAAATTGACAAGAATCAATCCAATGAAAGGTATCAACAACTAACTTCTTCATCTTTCTTGATGAGTGCAAGAGTTTGTTCAAGAAAGATCATCTCAAGACGAAGTTGATCGTTATGGTTGGCAATGTTGAAGAATATAATTTGAAATATAATGTTTGAATATAATTTGAATTGGAAAAGTTTTTAACATTTATTAGGTACAACAGAAGAAGCAAGAGTATGATAACAAACCAATCGAAGAGGTCATAAATTGACTTTTTCATGTTTCTTCATGAGTTCAAGATATTGTTTAAGGAAGATCATCTCATATCAAAGGATGTTGCCGTGGTTGCCAAAGCCCAAAGAGAGAATTAGAAAGATATGTGTGAAGCTTCTTTCTGTTGACAAGGCTCAATAGAAGAAACAAGAGCACAATAACAAACCAACCAAAGAGGTCATCAATTGACTTTTTCATAATTCTTGATGAATTTAAGAAATCGTTTAAGAAAGATCATTTCGAGATGAAAAATGTCAACTTGACATGATCTTAATCTTGATGGATGATCGTTGTGGTTATCAAAGCTCAAGGAGGAAAATAGACAGACATGTTTCAATTTCAAAAGTCTACCTTCATTGAAAAATTTCAATAAAGGAAGAAACAAGAGTACAATAAGTGTATGTCTGAATTTAACAAAGCTCCATACATTGACAAGACTCAATAAAGCAAGCAAGAGTTTGATGTGCCAACTTACAACAAAAAAAATACGACATCAAAGCTATTTCAACTTACAACAAGCAAAAGCATGAAGATGAAGGAACAATTAAAAGACCTTTTATGAAAACCGCAAAGTCAAAGCAACGGAAGTTGAACAAGGTCACAAAAGATACTAAGAATCAAACCAATTGAAGAGTTCACTAAGAAAATTCTTCATCTTTCTTGATGAGAAAGAGAAGTTGTTTCAGGAATATCGTATCAAGACAAAGGGTGTCGTCTTGGTTGACAAAGCCAAGAGGAGAGAAATAGAATGACATGCCCACATTTGAAAAGGCTTACTAGATTTACAAGTCTCAACACAAGAAGCTAGAGTATGATAAATCTATGTTAATTTACAACAAGCAAAAGCAAAACCATGAAGATAACGACAAAGAAACACCTGAAATGTTGAGTAAAATAGTTGTGAAAGACGCAAAGTTATAGAAACAAGGCTCAACAGAAGAAGCAAGAGTACGATAAGTTTATCTTAAATTACAACAAAAAAACGAAAGAGTAAGAAAAGAACAACAACAGTAGAATCAAACCAACTAATGAGATTAATAACTAACTTCTTTATCTTTCTTGATGATTTGAAGAGATTATTTGAGGAATATCATTCCGAGACATATGTTGTCTTGGCTAGCAAAGCCGAGGAGTGAAATGGAAAGACATGTTTGCATTCAGAATTCTGCCTACATGAACAAGGCTCAACAAAAAAAATTAACCTACTATGAAATTTTGTCATCTTACAAGAAGCAAAAATAGTACAATGAAAAGTACGACTAGGTAACACTTGAGGAAATCGAGTAAGGTTGTTGTAAAAGATGCAAAGTCAAAGAAACAACAGAAGTTCAAGAAAACTAAAAAACCCAAACTAATTGAAGAGAATACCAAATAGCTTCTTCATCTTTATTGATGAGTTCAAGAAGTCGTTTAAGAAATATAGTTTCGAGTCAAAGGGTGTAGCCTTGGCTTACAAAGTTAGAGGAGAGAAATGGAAAGATATGTTTGAATTTGAGAAGTCTATCTACATTGACAAGTACTAAGAGAAGAAGTTAGAGTACGATATTTCTATGTTATATTACAACAAGCAAATGCAGAACAATTAACCACAATATAGTGAATAGTGACAAGAGAAGACACTGGTAGTTAATATTTGTGCTGTCGTTGTGCTAGTTCGAGATACTTGCCTGAAGCCCAGCTTAATATTTATAGCAAATTCAATAACTCATGTTCTTTGGGAGCCGGGTCAAGAATGAACATCGTTCCAGAACTGACTTACAAGGCTTCAATCAAACTCTAGAGAAAATTGTCGGTCTGTGCAACAAACACTGAGAGCGTCGCTAATATACTCTGTCTCTCCTCTCGATATCTTCAGATATTCTTGCTCAGCATGCTCTGGTAGCCTTCCTCATGTCATCCATACGAACTCAACTAAACTACGCTGCGCAATCAACCAGATGATGATTTTGGCCACAGCATTGGTCAGAAGCCATCGTTTATAGACGTACAGTAAACAAGTACGAGAAGTACATTCATTGAATATGAAGAAATGCATTTTTTCTTTTCTTATGGGAGTTCATTGAGAAGCGATTATTTCCTTTGCACGAAGGAGGATCTAATTTTACGCAATAGTAAAACTTTCGCAAGAATAAATTGAGAATATACACATACATGTATACACATGAAATAATTCATGTTTGGCACTAAATCTATTTTCAATATGAAAGAAAAAAATGTAAAAAATTTGGAAAAAAATTTCTCAATTAGGAGTAGGACATGGAGGTTCAGGGTTTAGGATTTGGGGTAAATAGCGGTAAATATTTCAGTATATATATAGTTTTGGGCATCGTTTGGTTTCACATGGCATTTCTACACCCCAACTTACTACTGGCCATAGGTGGTGCGTGCTTTATGCAACAGTAAACAAAACTTTGAAAGCCAAGAAAAATAATTTCAGTAAATATACTTTCAGTGTACTGGATCAGCGAGGAGAAAATCGTCATTAATATTTACTTAGAAAAGGACCAAAAAAGGTATTGTACTCGTAGAGTATCTTCGTGGACCATATTTAGCTTTACAACTCCAGCATTCAGCTCTGTAGCAAAACATGATGAAACATAGCTAACAATTGTTGACACTCATAATATTCTGCTAGAAGATTCACCAGGAGGGTGTAGGTTCTATACCACCCTTTCCACTCTTAACATTGGTTTGAAAAAAAATTGACTAAAATATCTGAGTCTATCAATTGGGAGGAAGCCAAATCAACATTATGTAAAGTGGAACGTGAAGCCATAGACCATGAGTTGAGCTTTACCCGTTGTGATAAATGGACAGAATAGAACTGTAATTGAAAGGATAAATGGCGCAATATCTGCAAAACGACTGAAGCCACCAGTCCCGGATTTGTGACCCACCATGGCCGTTTGCCTAATACGAGGCATGGCCTGGAGTCTGGACAGTGTTGGCACATTGTGAAAAGTTCACGTGCATTGCTGTTGAAACCGTTTCGATCCGTAAATCGTTCGAGGTTCCGACATTCTGCGCCACACGAAGCCACTTCCTGGTCTTGCATCGGAAGCCTTGATTGTGAGATCTCTCTGATTTTTTCCAACTTCTGGAACAGTTAGATTTTGCTGCACGAGAGTGAAGAGGATGCGTATGAACACATCTTGCGTATGAACCTCAGAGATGTCAGCTCCCCGAATTGACATCGGAGACAGCCGACAATTTCTACTTCCATGAGATCTTTACGAAGATTAGCATCTGTCTCCTTTATGTGCTTGCTTCGTCTTTCCTTTGGCCACCGCAGCGCGGAGTGAAGTCTCAGAGGCCACTCCTCCACTTCACCTGGCAAACTGCGAGGTCGGATTCTGTGTAACCACGATTCGAATGCGCTTGAATCACCCAATTTGCATGAACGAAGCAAAAGGAATCCGAAATTCAAACTCCTCTCCAGCTGATCGATCTGATCGCCGAGCATGGTCAAGGATGGGAAAAGAAGTCATGGACCTACCACTGCTGTGTAAGTTGATCTGCAAGCCCAAACGAGCGAGAATCCCAAATTGCCCGTCATTGCTGCTACTCGAACATTCTTATTTGTGAGACCAGTCCACTTCGCATAGAAAAAACTTCTTCTCGTGGAGTCACGGGCACGGCTCAGAGTCCGAGCTATGCATGGAGGCACTTCGATGACTCAACTCGGGATGTGTGATTGAATGCAGATCGCGCAACAGGGATGCTTGCAACAATTGCAGGAAAGAGCTCGAGGATAAGATCCAGACATGGCGAAGTGTACTGAGAGGGGTGGCTCTGGCGCTGTTCTTGCTGGCATTCGGGGTGGGATTCTACTTCACCTTCACGTCCATGCCCAACATGTCAGTGCACCGAGTGTACCTGGACCACGGGCGACGCGATTTCGCAGTCAGACGCTTGTACAACGAATCCGTGTCGTATGGGAACAACGTGGACGTGGAGAACGGGAAGAACGAGGCCGCCATGAGAGGACTGTATGATCAATTCGGGCTTCGGGTCATCGCCAACAAGTCCGCCTCGTCCGCCTCCGATCAGGAAGGCCAGACGCTCACGTGCCCGTGCACGAAGACGAGCTTGAGCTGGACCGAGTACACGCACTTCTATTTCGTGTCGTACGAGCGCCCGGACAGGAAGCCATACTTGACATACATCTTCCCGCCGGAGCTGGACGGCAAATTGGGAGGCCTCGAGGTCGACAATGCCAGCGCCATCAGCGCCCAGTACGTGGGCCGCGCCGCGGTCTATCTCCAGAGCCACAAGGACTTCTGCAGTCTGCTGAACACGCTGCCGGCCGATCTGCTGACTGCCCGGTCTCAGATCGGCGACTGCCAGGACCTCGTCGGCCCGCTTCTGAGCTCGGATTCGGACGACGAGGCGCAGTCTCGGTGGAAGGATTCGCGAGCCTCGTTCCACGACTCTCCTGTGCTGCTGGATCAGAAGCTCCTGCTCTCCACGACGCTCCGTCTGCTGTCCGGTGAGTGTCTTATCTGCTTTCCCATCTCCCTTGCCTCCATTGCCTCCCTTGTCATGCAACAACAGCGATCGTCCCCATGCTTCTCTCCTTCTGCGGTACTCTGAGCTGAGATCTTCACGAGATCATGAGCCAAGGACTGATTCTTCCGACAACTACCTTCGAATGAACTGCTTCTCAGTACATTGTGCAACATCGCGAGCTGCCACCCGCAGATGGTCTAGTCTATGCCCGCACTCACTCACTCGCTTGCGTTCCTACGAGCCCCAGCCAGAGCGACATTGCAAAACTCAAGCGCATCCGACGGGCAATGTACTTCTGCATGAATCCATCTGTAGAAATCCATCTTCTCTAGTCTGATCGATCCTCTCAACCTCCGTCACAATGCTCACAAAATCCTGTCACAATGCCTCGCAATGATGGATTCTGCTTGAAATTCTGCATGAATCCATCTGTAGAAATCCATCTTCTCCATTCCGATCGATCCTTTCAACCTCCGTCACAATGCCTCAAAAACCCCTGTCACAACGCCTCGATCAAAATGCCCGCATCGATCATAATAATTGCAAGCAATAATCATCGAAAGGCCGCCCATCGAGGCTCACAGCGAGAGGGTCGTCAGAAGAGAGACGAGACAAGGACCGGGGGGTGGGCTAACGGACTGATGGACGCAGGGTATATCCGGGGGAAGCGGGCGCTGATGGAGAGCGGACCGACGAGGATCGGGGAGAACGGCACGAACCGGAACATGTTCCTGACGGGGCTGACGGACCTGTGGACAAACGCGCTGGACGCGCTGGGCGCGAACTCCAGCTGCTCGGACGCGGACTTCTTCGCGACGGCCGCGACGCGGGCGGCGCGCGACTTCGCCGCGCAGGAGGCGCTGGACTACCCGTTCCACTTCGCGGTGCTGCTGGACCAGGGCCAGACGTTTCTCGGCGTGCGCGTCAATTGGACCGAGTACTACGTCGCCTGCGCCCCCCGCTTCTGCGACGCGCTGGGCTCCGTCGGCGGCGCGCGCCGCGCCTTCGCCGCCGTCGCGCTCCTCGGCGGCCTCGGCACCTGCGTCCTCCTTCTGGCCCATCTGGTCCTCTGGCCCCTCTCCGACTCCGTCCTCGTCTACTTCTGCCGCCAGTCGTCCGCCGCCGCCGCCACAGGCCCTTCTCCCCCCTTGCCCGCCCGGGCCCCCCGACCTTGTCCCCCCACTGCCTTCCATGGCGGCCACTAGACACATCCTCTTCTCCTCCTCCTCCACCTCCTCCAGGCCTTGCGATCTACTTCGGCAGCAGCTCGATCTCGGCTGTGGACTCGATCTAACGTGGACTCACGGCTTTAGGATTCACATTTGCCGATCAGATGGACTCTTCTGGGGCCACAGCTGTTGCTGAGTTATATTTGCTTCTCGGCATCTGGCTGTTGTATTTAGGACCACTTTCGCTCTCCAATCTGAAAGTTTCCGTGTTTTTGGATCAATTGTCATCGCATTTGGTTTCGCTCGGGATGTTTCGTTTGGGTCGTGTTCAGGACTACTCGTTTCCATTATTGTGCATTGAGGGAGGGAGGGAGGGAGGGAGGTATGCATGCGGACTGTGCAGGATTCTGTTCCCTGATTTAATGGCTGGGCCTGTGCAAGATCGTCGGACTTGGCCGGGTTCGACTCGTTTTCGCGGTCGTCAGTTCAGTAGGATCGCAGCTGAAGGTCACTCATCGATCGAATTTCTGGTGACTTCCTTGACAGCAGTTCGAAGACGCCACGAGATGAAGAGTTCGGATTCTCGCCTTGACATCCGTTCATTGCTCGAGCTGAACCCTGAAGCATAATGGACTGGCTCTTGTCCACAGTCCAAATGTATTTATCGAACGTCACATGTCCGCACATATTACACAAAACACTCTCTTCAGGAGCAGAGGAGCCCAGGCCACTGTCACATCCTCTTCACCTCCCTCAGAAGTGAATGGAGAGTTCTGAACATGACCAACGAACGTCGCATTACCATGTTCTTCACCCAGAAAATATCAGAAAATAACTTCAGGCAGAACATTGAGAGACATCCGAAGCTGATTCTCGATGCCTTATTCTCTGGGGACATATATTGCACACTTTGTCAAGCTGGTGACATGATCAGAAGATAACAGACTGACTGACAGAGACGGATTTTACATGAGGCCTAGAATGCGTTCACTTCGGTAAAACTATGAGGCAGCCAGTTCCTTTGCAGGAGCAGGAAAGAATCAGTCAAATTTGGGTGCCTCACGAATCTTTTATTCCCAGATAGTGGTACAGAAAAGTCGCCATGTCCTTCTCGTGAATTCTTTCTCTTCTCCGAAGGGGAAGAAGCTGAAGGAAGGTGCACATCCGTTCGGCCCATTCTCAAACCTGGATGGGTCGAATTTCATATTTCCCAATCTGTGTAGAACTCCTCCCTCCAGTACGAACTCGCTGCCTACAACCTGGATGGGTCGAATTTCATATTTCCCAATCTGTGTAGAACTCCTCCCTCCAGTACGAACTCGCTGCCTACAACGCAATCTGCGGCATAAACGTGTCGATCATCAAGAGCAGAATCAGCGCTGCTGTCACTGCTTCCACTTCAATTCAGACTTAGACACAAGACTTCCAAGCAGGATCGATCAGATTGATGCATCATACGCCAGCTGCATTGCAGCAAATGCCATCGATTCCATCGGCATCAACCTTCCCAAACCGATGCAATTAGCACTCTACTATAAGCCCGGACTCTGGACTCGCCGTATCGCCCTCCCTTGTGAATGTCTGGTCTCATCTCTGTACTTGACGTCGATGTTGGCTTGTCGCCAGACGACTCAAACGCAAGCTCTCGCTCAGCACCCTCCAGGAGTAGAGTGCTTCACATTTCGCTCATCCGTCGTCAGCGCTTCTTGTATTACACAAGTCCATCGCCACACTGTCAAGTGTATGAAGGCAACGGTGTGCAGATCTGTCACTCGCATCTCACATGTGCCCTCCACAAGTATATCACACAGAATATATCATGGAAGCAACACCAGTTCAAATTAAGACGATAATTTATAAAATGAACTTTTGTTCAGTTGGAACTTTTTGTAACTTCTTTTTTCTGGAATTTAAGTAGGTTATCAATCTTTGAAGGAGCCGATTGAAACAAAACTTTTACGTTCGGTTTTGAATTAGAGGCGATTTTTATTATTTTTGAATGTCGACTATAACCCTTAGCCTTCCAAGCTAACGATGCATCTCGTGCACGACGAAACGAACCTGCAGGATGTTGGATACAACTATTCCTGAGCTTCGAGCATGAAACGCTTAAATTTGTGTTCACGATTCTCAGTAGACTGTGATCTATTTGCATTGTCTTCCATGTCATCAGCGTCACAGCCGTCAAATTGACGGTTTTCAAATTCTTTCACTTCTAAGATGGTTCTCCACTTTCTTCTATGTCTTCCTTTTGAAAACGAGCATGGCTTATGGTCAAGCAATAATGCTCCATGTCACAAAATTTGCAGATCATTGTGCAACTAGCCATTTGTTTATTGAAGTGATCAGGTCGTAAGAAAATAGTTTTTCATTAATATTACCGGGGTTAACACATCAAGTTCAGGTGAAGATGCCAAAATATGATTTATCCAATGATGTGGAACAAAGTTGGAATCTCACAGTCATAACAGTAGGCCGTGCCATCACACGATTTCTTGTAGATCTCTTTCTCAAGTCATGTGATTATGTGCCTTCATGCAATGTATGGTCATGGCACTATCTTCGACTTGCATCCTCTGAATCATTTCAGGCTGAGAGTTTTAGTTCTTGTGTTTGGATGAGTTACTGATATGAACCTGGAAACAAAAACAATGCAAGATGATAGCGTGATCGTTACCTAACACTTTTCAAGCCTTATGGGTTTTCTATTACACACACATTGCAGAATCACACAGAGTTTGCCATATCACCTCAAAAGTCAGGTATCCATCCGAAAACAACATTGAAAAATGTTTTTGTTTTTTAAATTTTTCTAATTTTTTAATAGTATTGAGAAGATTATTCTTACGTCGAGCTATTAAATTTGAAGAAATTTTGAAGTAAGAGATACGTTATTCGTTCAAGAATTTGAATTTCAATCAATACTTAAAAAAATTAAAAAAATTCGAATGTTGATCTACAATTTATTTTATTTTTTATCAATATCTTGGATACTGGAAAGAATTATGATAAATCTGAGTGAATTTTGTTGATTATACTCACTTGAACATATGCAAAATAATAACTGAAAATTGATGTTAAGTTCTTGAAGTAAACATTAGTTCTTGTATAATGATATCATTTGTGCAATCTCTTTCCAAAGTGAATTTAAAATTTCTTCATAAGTATTTTGAAGAAACATACTGAATACTAAATTTAGATGCAACTCAAATCGTTTCAATAACATCTTTGGATTGATAAAAAAATTTGATTCATCTGAAGCTGAATCATTTTTGTGATTTCAATATCTTGATCTTTATTCATGTTTGATGTAATTATGGAAATATTTTGATATTGTGTGATGTCAACATATTGCACTTAGGATTATATCTCATATCAATTGGATGATGCAAATTCATCTCATCATGAAGTTAGAAGTTATGGCTAGGGGTTTCTGTAGGAGTCAATTCAGGACCCGGTCATTCTAGTTAGTGTAACTATTTTAAGTTGACTTGTAATTTTGATAGTTTGAGTTCAGATGGGAGACTTGGTCAAAAATACTTGAGACACAACTTTTGGAATTGAACAATGCGACCTTGTGTATAATTCACTGAGGTGAATTGCTTATTTAACAATGTCAATCGTTTATTGGAATCTCTTGTGAAGAATACCTCAGAATTCCTCTTGTGTATAATTCACTGAGGTGAATCTCTTATTTAATACTGTCAATCGTTTATTGGAATCTCTTGTGAAGAAAACTTGAGAATTCCTCTCGAAATGTAGTTAAGTCTGTTAAGGGTGATGTAAGCGTCGTTGTGTTTGACGCTGCCGATTTCTGATACCATCAATTATTATTACTTGCAAAGTCACAAGGTTGCATGTTATTATGAAATAAATGCATTTTTTTTTCAATCGATACCAAACTAGCAAATTTAATTGATGTTTACAACATGTCTATGATCAGATATGCTTTAATATTAATATCGTGACATAATTCGATTTTACATTATGTGTATCATTATGTATGTTATCAAATACATATTTATAAATTTTATTGTAAAATATTAAGATATGAACTTGTTATCAAGAGTATTAAAGATTCAATAATTTATGTAATACCATCTAGTTTACCAGATGAAACTTCTTATGATATTTTTTATTTCTGTATGTTGGCACTCATTACCATCATCCATCAACTTTTTATTGACTACTTTAAAAATTATTATTTTGAAATCTGAAATTTCAATATAATAGCATCAACATTTTAAGTTTGAAATCTGATTTGAATCGTATCAAATCAAAATTTGCATCATAAGCCAGTTTTTAAATGAAATTTTTATGCAATTTTAAGATTTTTTTAAAATAAATGAAAATATTGAAAATTTAATTTTTTAGTTTGGAATATGAAAGATATATTTTAATTTAAATGTGGTTTAAATATGTTTTTATATTACACAAATTTTTTTTAAATCAATATATTTTTATACATGTGTTTGATCAAACATTATTATCATCTTAAATATTTTAAAATTATGATCATGAATGATAATAATTATATAAAATTACATTAAAAATTCTATAAATGAAATAAATTTGAGTAATTATTTTATAATATTTTAAATTAATAAAATACTATGATTATCATACTAAATAAATTTTCATTTTTTCATGATTTAGTTAAATTTCTGTTTAAAAAATATGATTATGTCTAATAAAAAGTGTCTTATTTCATCAATTATCTTGAATGAAAGAAATATTTACTTGACGAGATACCATCAGAACCTAAATTGGTTACTAGGACAATTAAAGGTTTGTTTTACCCTATGGTGCTCCATCTATGGTACACGTCATACATGTTCTAGTATCAACGGAAGATGCATGCAGTGGAACTTTGTCTCAGCGATCGCGACTTTCGACATTGGACGTCTAGTAGAGTTCTGTTGCAGCATCTGCCTAGTGGAGCTCTGTAACAACGATAGTAAGCTCAAGGTTGGATGTAGTGCTCAGAATGTGAGCAACAATTCAATACCTGCTTAAGCTCAAGATTACTACACTTATTTGGTTTGTTTTTTCTATTAGTCTGTCTTCAGACAAATCCAATTAGCAAAGAAAAGTGAGAGTAGACATGTTGTGCATGTTATCGCCCTTTTTGCATACCCGCTAGTAGTCACTATGAACGTCTATTGTGCGATGTGTGGGCTAGTGAATTTGTGGGACATGAGAGAATGGTAGCGTCGTGGAGACATAGCTTGTCGTCAAGCTATGTCGAAGCACTGAATGTTTTTCTAGAGTGAAATTCAATGCCGGAACCATGCGCACGAGGTACATCGAGTGAAACTTCAACTAGTAATCACGAGCTCGTTTCTGAAGAAAGCAACAAGAGAATGCTGGTTTTCCCAAGCAGTGAGGCAACTGAGCTGAAGCAGAACCTTCTGAGCATTATGTTGAGGGCGACGTGCTAATTAAACCGGGGAAAAGAATGGAGGCCGTGACGCGTGGATAGGGAGCGATATATCAAAATCCACTAAAGCTTGCATCATATGTATACAAGAACAAGTTTTAAAACTTCGTCATACCGTTGGTGGAATCCCATTGAATAAAACAAAACTTGATGGATCCCATCAAGCAATTTTGATTTTGATGAACTCCCATCAAGTATATATCTCTGAATGAAACAAAGGTATTAGTATGATGTAAAATTTTGATATGATTACAAAAAGAGATATTTTTTATGTAATCTTGCTTAATTGATTAAATAAAATAGATCATATTTTCAAATTAAACATCTAAATTAACATATTGTCTAAAGTTCAATGTTTTTCATAACGAAATAGGTGAAACCAAGTTTTAATGAATACTAGGGAACAAAATTAAGTGTATCAACATAAGTACTTGCATGTCCTTAGCTTTGAATCTAAGTTGAAAAAAGAAACCAATATATTGTCATATAAAGAAGTAGTTGTAGGTAAATTGAATGCGCACATTTTTCTTCAAAATAATATTTTTGTTAGGTGAATGATAGTTATTTCACATGTATGTAAATCATAGGTTAGAAATAATAAATTTTAGAATCTTCAAAAGTTCACATATTTAAGTATTCTTATTCTTTGAAACACTACATGAAGATGCCACACAAACTATAAATGTTAGAATATGCGTAATCACAAAATAATTACCTGTTTTGTTCAGTCTAATTGTGCTACAAATATTTGTACATTCTTTTTATCACACAATAGAAACAAACTACAACAAAATTTCTATAAATTAATACTGCCGGGACCGGCGGTTCTGTATTAATTTAGACAGTTTATCAATAAAGAGAGTTTCTCTGTTCACGTCATTTGTGGTGGGACAATTATTTGCACATTGACTAGAGTCATTGGTTCTGTATGAAAAGCTAAAGTTTTGATGTAACAATGAGACATGTTTTGAATTGTATTGTATCGAGCTTAATAGCGTTATAGCTTTGTCGTCAAATCCGTAAGTTGCACTCTAGAGGATAAAAAATTAAGACGGCCGTCACTTATGCTTGAGAGTTGCTTCATTTGTAACAGTTGCGTTCATCCTGGATAGCAGCCACAACCAGATGCACAACCCAATGGCTTCAAATAGATCCACCAAAACGAACATGATCAACGAGGTTCGGATAGCTCTTTGTGAGCACAAGCAAAAGCATTTATTGCTGACGCAAGCAGACTTGATCAAATGGCTTCAAGAAACGCATAAAATTTCTGTTAGTCAAGGAAAATTTTCTCTAACTCTCAAACTTTCAATTGAAATCCTTGCCAAGAAGAAGAATGTGAATCGAGGGGCAAAGCGACATCGGACTATGAAGTACCCACTGATGGAGACATCTCTGTACCTGTGGTTCCTCACGTATCAGTATCAAGTCAATATGTCATGTAATCTCATCAAAGAGAAGGTTGCGTACTTCCTTGCCAAGCTCTATCCTTGATACCAAGCCTTTGAGTTCTTAAATGGATGGTTAGAGGCATTCAATAATCGCCACATCATCAAGTCCTACCGTCGCCTTGGGGAGTCTGGATCCGTCAACATGGCTTTGATTGAAGAGAGTTTGCCGCATATTTGTTTAACTCTGGATCAGTATGAGCAACGTTGACATCTACAACATGGATGAAACTGGATTGTTTTACAGAATGCAGGTAAAAGCAGCATGATACTGTATGCTCACTGTCAAACCATCAATTTACTTTCACTAACATATGACATCTCAACAAGCGAACAATTCCTTTGCCACAAAGCAGCTTGAAGTTTTTTCAAGCGCATAATGGCATGTTGCTGCCTGGAGCATGGATGTGAAGCCAGAAACAATCCGCAACTGCTTTCGCCATTGCCGAATTTGCACCACCAATGCTAATGTGACACCGGTCCAGGAACAGTCACTTGTTGATCATGATGTGATTAAGGACCTCGATGAGCAGGTTCAAGAGCTTTGGTACCGGAACCGAATGGATATTTGTAATCTCATCGACTATCCTGATGAACGCGAAGTTGCTTATGTTCCGATTCAGAAAGAAATTGGGCAAGAACTCTCCACCAATACTGTGCCAGAAGATGAGGTGGAGGCCGACGAAAGTCAAGAATATATTCGTGTGAAGACAACTGAAGCACTGCGCTGTGCAAATTTGTTGCAACAGTTCTCGATGCAACAAGACATCATCGACCATGAGATGATTTTTTCCATCCAAACAGTCAAGTACAAAATCAGCATTATGAGATCTAGAAAGCTCATTAAGAAGCCAATCTTGGAATATATTTCCAAGGTTTAGCTGGCCAAATGTCAAAAGATTCCTATCAAATCTATGTCTAGCTTTTGAAAGACAAATTGCTCAAAATGTTTCCATTTTTTTCGTTTTGATGTAAGAAAAATTACTTCTATACGTATCACAGGTTGTAATTCTAAAGAATCCATTGTTCATCAGATACAATTCTAAGATTATTTCAGCATGAGTGTCAACGAGGAGATACATGGACGTTCATAAGGAAGAGTAAATTCACCTCTTAGTTACTGTAGCGAGAGGATAGTGAAATCTGGCAGAGATGAGCAATCGGCGCTGCCCATTGAACACAAAAACCCGCTGATCGTAAGACACATTCAACCCCCAAACCATCGACGCAACAAGAAAAACGGAGAGAGATGCCAGAGTCTGACTACAATTGATCTGTGGCATGTCGCCATTCTTGCATTTCCTTCGAGAAACGATAAAGTTTCGTGAGTCTGTCAAAGCTCCATTCCTGCAAAATAAGCTGCAACCTCGTACGTAAACAAATGCACTTTGATGTTCTGTCGTTCTTAGCAAGGCTGCCACGAGAAAGAATCCGAGTCGGGACAATCAGGTCAGAAGTTATTTGACACATGTACTTTGAATCCATCCACCTCAGCTGCAGTCTCCGCCCCTCGCAACTGTTTATTTCTCTGCAGTGGTTATTAATGTAAAAAAGTTTTGGAACTGTCTCTGGGATATTAATTATTAACTTTTGAAGGTTTATTAATAAGTACATGGGCCCGACTTGGGACTGGACTGCATATATTAGTCATCACAAGTGATTAAGTTAAACAGTATTAACTTAAACCGGTTCTACTGTATCAAGTTGATCAAGAAACAAGACATTCAGATACCAAGAGCTAGGTTCTTATAGTAACATGATGAAAAAATCTTTTAGCCTTCATTACTTACTTCCTTTTATAATAGTAGATGCTAGTATTCTTCATCTGGCTGCATTACATCAATATGGTTCCAATAATCCATTGGGTATCAATTCTTCTGTAGATAAAACAGCTTTTATACCTCTTTTTATGTAAAAGATACTTTCACATTCAGATTGCAAATATGAAGCAGTCCAATCTTAATATGTGTGCAACATTTTCACACGGATTTTGCGTCTTGCAAGTCAAACAGTGCATGACAGATCTAACAAGATGAATAAAATACTGCTTTAGACTGCCCATGAGTGCAAGTGAAGTTCTAACCATCATAGAAATGACGACAAGGTTGCAGTCTAATTTTTGTTTGTTTAGTCTATCTTTAAATTCTGCAAATTTGGCTACATTCGCCGGCTGCGTTTGAGACATGAATTGGTTAATTTAACGTCTATGTACGAGATAGTTGATGGTTCATACCACTTTGCGCTCTCACAGTAAAATTCTCTTCATAATTTTCTACCGAAACACACTCATCGTTTCATGTCAGACAAGTTGAGATTCATCCTAATTTCCAGTTGACCTTTGTGAACGAATACTGCACGCTTGACAATTAGCCGCATCATATCGCAATCGGTTTTCTGCTTCTCTTACGGCCTTGAGGTGAGCTTTTCTTGCCTAATTTGGGCTTTGCTCTCTTTCGAAAGAATACTCAAGTTCGTCGAGTTCAAGATCTGGAAATCCCTTCCATCTGCTTATGCCCGAGCCTCAGTATTGCTTACAACTGTTCGACGAATCGTGTTCACCCAGCGTGGAAAAGAGAAGTTCCCGATTGAGAAAATCGAGTATTTATACATGATGATGAGAATGACGTGCGTTTACACCTGCTGAGAGTTCTCTCCCAAGGCTACAAATGGCGCTAAGCTATTGCGGTCGAAACGAATCAGAAATTCACAAATGCGACGTATGAGCGATCCCTCGTTCTACTGCTAAATTCACACCAGCCCTCCTACTCTAAACTTTGTACACGATGAACTGGATGAGAACCTCCAGCGTGAGTCCCAGGCGAGGCGAGGCGAGACAAGGCAAATGCTCAAACGCTGACGTTCATCCTCGTGCGGGCGGCCCCAGAACACAGCTCCTCATCCGGCGGGCGGATCAGACCCCGCATCTGTATACGGCAAACCCCGGCAATCGACACGATCAGAATGAATATATCGTGGTCGACTGCTCATCATCCGGCGCATGGCGGATCAGAATTATCGGCGTCGAGGTCGGATGCGCGGCGGGACGAAGGACGAGGCCTGCGACGAGTCGTCGGCGTGCGAGGCGTTGTAAGCGCGCTGGCGGTCGGCGAGCGAGAGGATGGAGACGTTGGTGTCAGTGGCCCAGAGCGGGTAGCCGACGGCGGTGTACATGACGACGTTGCCGTCGCACTGCATTTTGATGAAGTGCGGGCCGTTGTTCATGCCGGCGGTGTTGGTGCGCCAGAGCGCACGGCCGTCGCCCGTCCAGATTACGCCGTCGCCGTCGGCCTGCAGCAGGAAGTAGCAGTCCTCGCCCTGGTTCATGGTGTCGGTGGCCCAGACGGGCCTCACGTTGTTCGCGTACAGCACCAAATTGCAGTCGCTCTGCATCTTCAGCGAGAATGGCCTCTCCACAATCTCCTGCTTCGGCGCCAGATAGAAGCCCTCCAGCAGCACGCTGTCGTACGCTTCCCCGCATCTCACCAGCATGACCATCAGCACCCACACCCACACCACTGCTCTCGACCATCGCTCGGCCATCCTTCCAGCCCCAGCCTTCACGTCAGTCACCAAATTCAGACCGAAGATCGAGTGCACGAAATCCCTTGAGCATGCACGGGGCCAAGTTTCATTTTCTTCTCACCACTTCATACCGAAATTCGAGTGCAGGAAATCTCCTAATCACACACGGGGCCAAGTTTTATCGCCCTCCTCGCGACTGCAGGCTTTAGACGAGCTTACGATTCCCAGTTCAGAGTCCAAGAGAACAGAAACTCAGAGCTGTACAGCCGAAACGAATCTAGCTCTACAGACGGCAATTGAACTAGAGCGCAGGTGTTGCGGATCTAACTGTCACACGAGTGAGCTCGTCACCGAGAGCGAGCGACGACTTTGAGGTATGTCGAAGGACAGCTCGGGAGCTTCGAACGACGAGGGATGGATCGGAAGGCGAGTTGAAGGTTTATATATGGAGAGCCCTGGACCCGGGACGTAACAACAGACGAAATCGCACTGAGATGGGAGTGTCCGAACTGCTATTTAATCCTGGCCTCAGATGGAATTTTGACCCGCATGCTTTGGGGAATCGGAGCAAAATGACACCTCTTCTTTTCCTGATGCGGACACCGCCACCGCCGGATGTTGTCACACGAAGTCACCTAAAGCACAAAAGGACGACGAGAAATTGACATGTGCCGATCGAAGAGGCTGCTTGTAAAAAGGCATGAAACCGAGACGTGCGTCGCCACTTTTTATGATTCCTGGCAGACTCTCCAGCTAGCGGTGCACCGAATCTACGCTATAACAGATCGAACTCTAGAATGCGGCTGGTGCTTCAGGTTGGGCCCTCTCGATGGCATAAGGCGAGAGTGACTGAGACCAATCGACTGAAGGTCTTGGACTGAGGCTGTACGCTGGCAGCCGCCACCGAGTTCGACTCGGCTGAATCGGATCAGTCAATGCAACATTGCAAATGCCACGGCGACGTGAGTGTGGGATCCATCCTCGTCACTCCGCTCGCGCTTGCATGTGTCCTGCCACTTGTCGATGACCTCGTCGCGAGGGGTCACGCGTGTCAACATTCTTCGACCCTTGTGTCCGATTCTTCCTCGGTCCAGTTGCACCGCTCGATCTCTCCATCTCTCTCTCGCGCGCTGCTGGCAGCCTATAGGATCTCAACGAGATTTCTAACATAAAAATAAAGACCCTATCATTTACGCGCCGAAGGCTTCAGTGAACTCAGGCCTTGGTTTGTTTCTTTTTTCTAAACATTATCCATCGGGTATGTAAATTGAGTATTCAGTGCTGGTTGTGAAGATATCAGAGTTTTTTGGTTTCATGATGGTAAAACTAAATTGTGGTAAGGTTGAATATACTTTGAAATAATGTCGGCAGCTGAGGATAGACAACGCACAAAGTAGAATATCAAGTGAACTTGGATGTAGACATCAAGTTGTATTTTAGTTTTTTTAATGATCGATTGAGATTTCTTATGGAAATTTTGGCGAAACAGAAAAATATGTGAAAGTAATTTCACATTTGATGCTTGTTTACTTTTTTTCAGTGTGTTACATGATGAATCATTAAGTTAGAATCCACCATCCCCATATAATCATGAAATCATGTATAGGAGTAAGGATAAGATCTGAGGTTAGATTGACATGCGTAAATCTAAAGTACGCAAAACTCAGTATCGTGCCTTAAACCAAACAAGTTATTTGTTGAAAAAAGGTATCACGTTGTTAACTGCTTCTAGAAATACATATATACATAGAATGAGTTATTTGGTTATGAACATATTTTCGTAATATTAAGAAACAAAATAACGTATTTTATAAAAGAGATACAAATGTATCACATATTGATACATGTCAAACAAAAAATCGCCCATAATGATAAAGCATTCAACTTATTGTATTCCTCTTAATATTACAACATAATAAGATCTAATTAAAATTTTTAAAGTAATTTTTTAAATTTTATTTTTACCTAAAATATTTTTTTCAATTATTTTTCAAATTATTCTAAACACAAGAAAAGTTGTGAGAAATGGTAATTTTGATTATGATTATACATATTATTTACTTGAATAATTAATTTTCAATAAATCTATTATTTCATCATCTGAAAAATTTTATCATGAAGAAGAATTTTCATCTTAAAGCTTAAAACATTTTCATTATATCTTATATTTATGTTTTATTTCAAAAAATATTATTTAAATTTAATAAAATTAAAATATTTAGTTATTTAGCTAATTAAAATATTTTTTAATATCTATTTTAATTTGAATAATTATTTACATTTAATGAACTCAATATATAATTAGATTTTTATGATTTTTATTTTATATTATTTTATTTAGAATAATGTAACGAGATACAAAATTATTATATTCTATCTTTAAAATATATACTTTGAAATCTAGTTTCTAAAATTAATTTAATAGTACATATTTTCTGTTGATTTCGATTATATAAGTATAAACTTTCAACATTTTATTTTTTGAAAATAAATATTTTTTGAATAAAAAATTTGTATTTTCTTTTTGTCTTTAGCATTATTTGGATGCTATCATATTATCATTTAATTAAAATCAACTTTATCATAGTAAGAATAGTGATGATATGTCATTGTAAATTAAGATTGAGATTCATTTTCTAAATTTATTGTTAAATGAAAAAAATTGCCACAATTTCCAGTAACATAGCTATCGATTTAACGTTGAAACAAGTTTGAGTTTTCAACAACACATACTTTTACTCTTCGCCGCATCCGCATATTGAATATAAAATTTGGCTTGTCAAATTGCATAAATCAAACCTACAACATTGAAATGAAATTTGAGTGTTAAATTGCATGAACCTCAAAGGTTGAAAGTTTTAGTATTTGCACTTGTTATTCAAACAACTTGTCAAAATTCTTGTACGTGGAATGCTCAACTATTCAGATAGTCAGATATCCGATCTTTTGTGTCAACGGCTTTCAAATTTTCAAACTTTTTTACTTCAGCGTTTGATGTACTATGTGTTGTCTTATCACATTGAAATATTCAACAATCAGATTTTCAGCCACAGATTGTTTTGTTTGTGCGTATAAATTTTTAAGGCATTTGACCATCACTATCTCTATTTTCTAGATGTCTTCTATTTTCACGCAGATTTACTTTAACACTTGTTTATCCTTGATTTGTAAATGCACTATAATTCTAAAACAAAATTTCAGTATTATAACTCTAACTTTTTATGTTTAGATACACAAATATTTCCAAGGATTTGTTCTATCAACATTACGTCCACAAGACAAACAAAGTTAGGTACTAAACTAAACTATGTCATAGAAGGCTTATGTTAGTGAACTTATTCATACTAACAATAGTCCACAAAACGGACGAAGTTAGTTACTTAACTGAATTATGTCATATGAAGTTTATGTTACTTGACTCATATAAACTACCAATAGTTCAACTGAGTAGTAGGATATGTGAGTTGTGCATTATCCAACTGAGTTATTGTAGATGGTGACCACACCTACATGTAACGCTCGGTCTACATTTTTAGTTGTATTGACTCTAATATAAAGAGATATTGAATATATATATATATATATCTATCTATCTATCGCTTTATAAAAGGAGTTGAAGGAGTGTTATCATAATAAAAAATATTCAATAAGATTATAAAAATAGACATAGAGAGATAAGGACCTATGTTATGAGTTTGAACATATCTCAACTACTGTTTTAGAATTGCTCATATTGATGCGCATTGAACTTCCTTGTTTATCTCTCTTCTGAGTTAATGGGAAATGCTCATAGCTAAATTCAGAAAATAGATTTTAAGCAAGTCCATTGCACATCACTTCAAACCTCATACTTTCACATGAGCCATAGACTCCAGAACAACCTCGTGGCCATCCAAGTTCGAACATAAGGGTCGTGGAACTGTGATAAGTATGAGAGCCAAGAAGCGGATGCAGTTTCCGTTTCTTGTGATTCGTTCAGCAATTCGTTCAATCGTCGTCCCAAACAAAGACAGAAATGATCTCGATGGGGCCACTCCACATGCCACTTCTTTGAGCCTCTCAAAGTCGATACAAGAGATGAAAGAAAGAATTAGTTGCAAAACTATGAAGAATTGAGAGATGTTCATTCGGAATCTTGAGCATCTGGCAAAATTGTCAACTGCTCCGATACCGAAGGAAAGCGCTCACGCACCTCTCTCTCTCATCAGGACATGGAGCCGCGCTCGAGAGCAAGACTTGCTCTCCTCCCAGTCTCATCTCGAAGTCCAATGGAACAGTCACTGGACTCATGGACGCCAAAGGCTGCCTCTGTATGCAGATTTCCAGAGCACAATCTAGTTCTAGTTCGGCGAAGTTGAACTCTTGCATCAGTTGAGCACATCAACTCTCGAAAACCCTCGCGAGCTTGAACCGTTTCTGTTGCTATTGAATGTCTCTCATGTGCCTAGCTCGCTCATCTCACCTCAACGAGGAGGTTGATGAAATCTCTAGTCCTCAAGTTAAGAAGTCAGAAAGCTAGGAGCCTTCGAGATTCTCAACTCGCGAGGTGGAGCTCTATGTGATGATGTATCGCAGAGGAGGTGCTGCATAGCCCTCCTCACTTCTTCCCCTTGCGAAACTATGGAGAGCCCTTTTGTGGATGCTTTCAAGGTCACAGCATTAATGAATTCCTGAGAATCAGTGTCACTGTCGAGGTCTCTCACCATGATGTTCTTATGAGGGTCCACTGAAGTCTGCATCATAGAGCTCAGCCTTGAATACAAAGTTCCTCTCACTGACTCAGATATGATTGAAAATTTTATCAGAATTTGATGGATTTGATTTGACAAAGATGGTACAGCTGCCTGATCATGAGCTCTGAGCAAGTGGAACAATTTCTTATCGTTACTGCATCTGTCATGATAGCCAAGTATCAATCTTCTGAATCTTAATAATTGTCTCTTACTAACCATTTCGTACTGGGAAATCCGAACATGTATAGCAAAATTCACCAGGTCATCTCATTATGAACAGGCTGACGTTCAAAATAGAACTAAGGGCATCGAGCAAGGACCATATACTGCCAAAATTGTTTTGAATTTCAACCGTAGGTTTGTAGCTCATTGATTTCAACGGACCAACTCGACCACGAGACTTCACCCCATGAACTCACTTCCACAAAATCGTCATGAAGATCCAAGAAGGAACTCGAAGCATGTTATTCTTACCCTCTGTTTATTCATATACTGAGCTAGAACGGTAAAAAAACTGCCTCCATGAGTATCCAGCTTCCATCGCAACAAATTCAAATCGCTACTCAAGGCTTCCTTATTCGAAATCGTCTTCCATCCTTACTTTTCACAACAACTTATTTTCGTGCCTGAAAAATTCTCTGCATACATAAAATATGTCGGTTGAATTCAAGGCCACAATGTGCAGATCCTGTCCACGCTAAGATGACGAGGATAAAAGTTTAACTTTGATCCACATTGTGGAACCGAACTTTGACTGAGTATCTCTCCTCCAACACTGTAACTCAGCCCTCATAAGGCCTGAGTTACATAACTCCCACAACTAACGACATTAACTCTATTTATGGATTCTACTCGTCATTCATTTTGGTAATTTTGGGATTTGACAATAAATAGAGTCCATACGTACACTATTACTAGACACTAATTCACTTTCTCACTTGTGGCAAAGGCAACGTGATATAATCTACTTGTGGCAAAGGTAATTGTAATCATGACATTCTTAATTGATGGATGACGCAAGATTTAATTTTGGTTAATTTTGGGATTTTGTTAGCAAATCCCAGAATTTAGGAGGCCTGCTATAACTCCTAGTAACAGTTAGTGCCATAAACGTCGTGGACGTTGAGACCATAGTATGTGCATTACACCTCTGATTGGTGCCAAAATCTGTTCACCTTGCAAACACTTGGCCTTGACGAGCACCGGAGGATAGAGTTGTGACAACAAAGGCGATCGGTTTTGAGAGCTCTGGGAAATTGACGGGTGTTGTACGTATGTATAAGTCGACAGACTCCGACGGATATGTAGGTGAGATAGACAAATCTTTGTACACCCAAGCTTTTAGGTGGTGAAGGTGTCACACTATCCAAGGTTGAAGTCTAAGAAGTGAAGAGAGGAATTATGATCAAACATACATGTTTGATCCAGATATTCCTGATCTACGTTAACATTTTTCATTCGTACCTTCTCTACCAAGTTAACTGTAATAGTCTCACCCGATACATTCGTGAAGAGAATAATTATTCAGTATATTGTCCTTATTATATTTGTTTACATTTCATCATTTACTTTGTCGATTTGAAATTTTCGTCTTCGTGAACAAGGAAGAATGCAAGATTAATGCCAGATTGTTGCAGTAACAGTAAATGTTGTTTAAAGTAATCAGATGTAATTGTTCAAACAGCAGACTGTGTACAATTATTGACAAATTGATATTTTATAATTCTTGTGAAAAATTAATTTGTACCTTCACTCACAAGGATTTTACCCTACTTTTTCACCTATATAGTTTTCTCATTTTCAGTGTTGGATATTGTTTTTATGTCGTAGACAATACAAAACGATTAACGATTTTGTTGACTGCTTAAAATTTTCGTTAACAAAAATTGAAGTGTGTATTTCCGCCCAAAATTTGTGCGATAACAAGTAGATAATTTCAATATCACGATAACTTTATTTTGTCCCAAGCGAGGAAAGATCACAATCGATTAATTTCAGTTTCAAGGCGTGCACATAGTAAGTCGTGCACACAGGTCCTTTCTCTATTATACAAAAAAAATGTACTGTCTGTAAACTAATGTGATTGTCTGCGCAAGCTGGTCGGTTGTGTCACTTTCTTTACTAGTCCTATAATGGAGATTTTCACATATTCTCCACACTTTCATCTACCGACTGTCAGCTGTTTTGGTTGAAATGCCACGTTTTGCATGTTACAACTTAGGTTCTACCTTTTATTGCCAGAGCTACACAACCAGAAGCAAGTACAGGTAACCGTATGAACTAGCTGACATCGTCCTCATCCGTGAATACAGGACGTTCGAGCAAGAATTCTCCCATAATCGGACGACGTTTTCTCAAATGGCAAGAGCGTCGTAGTGTTTCTTCGTCTGCTTCGCATAGCAGATTGGAAGATAGTCTTTGAAAGTGTAACTGCGATACTTGGCAGGGTTCTCCTCGCTCAGCAGTTCCGGAGCAGGACCCATTTGCGACAATGAATTAGGATTGGCAAAGACGACGAGGGTCAGACGAGTCTCATTTGAGTTGACGACAGCCTGGTGCTCCACGCTGCAGTACTTTGCGTTGCTCAGGATCTGTCACGTAAGGAGATAAATTCTCAGTAAGACTCAGACGTAAGAGGTCATGAAGTTTTCAACACAATAGCATGCCCTACTTTGGACCTCGCCCACACAACATTGAAGGAGTCAACTCTACTACTCGGCACTGGACTTCAGACCATCAATCGTCACGATGAACGATTTGATATTCATCTTTGGCTGGTGTCCAGATGCTAGGATCAAAAGGATACACAAGGCAACACATTTTCCGAGCAGGAGAACAACTGATCGAGAATCAACCTTGATACTTTTCTGTCTATATTTGTAAGAAAGTCAGTCACAGCCCAAGAGGCTCACCTGAATTTGGTCTCCCAAGTTGACCACCAAGGCGCCGCGGATAGGCTCCACAGTTACCCAAAGGTCTCTGTCCTCCTTGTAAGCCTGGAGACCTCCAACCTCTTGCTGTAAGATAGTAATGGTGCCGTAATCCGTGTGGCTGCGAAGTCCCAAAGTAAGGTCGGGTTGCGGGCACTGAGGGTAGTAGTTAGCGAGAATCTTTTGCTCGGTTTTTTCTCCTCCGACCGCGTTCTTAATGTAATCAGTTGGGAGCCCGAGACTTTCAGATATGAGTCCCAACAAAGACGTCACCAATGTATCGACATTGTCGCTGTAGTCTGCCAGTACTTGCCTGCGCACACATTGCTAAACATCAGCTGCCTGCAGCAATGATATCCGGACCAGCTACTACACGCCCATACTTCACTTCAACAGAGCACCAGTTTCGGCCGAGATTTAGCCATGCATTAGCACATGTACAGGGCGAGCTGCCTCCACATGCATGTGCTTAGAGAAGATGCCCCTCCCCGCAACATTCTCAGTGTGACTGGCTCAGACACGAAAATGCTGCTTCTCACCTACTACACGTAGGAAATGGAGAAACCCAGGTGGTACAGGACACCCCCTCTCCTGACAGAACAAGAGACTTAGAGCGACATTGCGAAGACTAATCACAGAGGCACTAAAATCGAGGGTGAGCCAAGGCCTGCCTCCACAGTTGAGGTAACATGGTCTTGCTCTGATTGCGCTTAATGTGCGGGCGAACCTCACGGGTAGCAACACTCTGCGAAGCTGCGCGTCGCGCACACTGTATCTATAGAGATGCTCGAGAGGCGAGACAGAGCAGTGGTGAATCGACTCTCATGAACAGAGCTAGGCCCAGACTGACGCCAGACAGGAAGTTGTACCTGTATGTGTCGGGTGATTCAGGCCAAATGTTGATGTCCTGCTCTCGGATAGACGAGGGCAGAGTGCGGTGCACCATGAGTTCTCTCCAGTCGAGAATGTCGTCGTCCGACCGGTGGCTCCCGCTGGCGTAACCGACAGGAAAGCCGCCGGGCTTCGTCGCATACTTCAGCTTCTCCTCCAGAGGCAACTTGAAGAATTCCATGGAGTTCGCCGCCATCTTCGTCATGAGCTCTTCCGGAACTCCGTGGTCTACGACCTGGAAGATTCCCCACTCTGCACAAGCCAGACCGATCTCGGCGACAATTCGCGCTCGATCGGCGTCGCTGGAGGTGATATTCTTCAGGCTGATCACAGGAATTTCCTTGCAGTAGTCATTGTAAGCCACAGTGGGTCGCTCTCCCATAGCTTTCACGAATTTCTCCGGCACGTCCATTTGGGAGTCAGACAGCTTCATCACGCTGTACGGAACGACATTCTTCTTCTCGCTCGCTATCCCGACACTCTCAGCAGCAGGAGGCGCCATTCTTCGTGCCTCGGTACAGCTCAGTCCTACAAACAAATTTTGATCACAATTTCAGAATGTCCGAGTTTCTGAACGAGGGCACCTTTCGAAGAGACGAGCTCCGCAAGATCGTCTCGTTTCTCAACGCCTCGACGAGAAAAACGACACCTCTCACTACACTCAGCTCGGGGAAGCAAGACTCACAGAATCGAATGTATTCTGCGCCGGCTCGCGCTCATATATAGCAGAGTGTCTGGGCTCACTTATTAATAGAGTTAATCATGAGCCCGAGGCCTTTATTGGAAAAGGCATGCGTAGAACCAATGCCCTGTTGCTGGTCCCCGATGCTCCAACGCAGATCAGAATCCGCCGTCGATCACTGGATCGACGGCCGCACTCTTTTCGTGCATTCGCAGTTCCCCGGAAATCCTCTCGTGACATCAGTCAGTCACGTCGTCCGCAAACGTCCACGGATCATCCTCAAAGTATGTTCGAACACACCACGTACACGTGAACTGTATATTATTCATATCACAGTATACTAATACGTAATATCTTGCGCGACAGTACGAATATGTGTTCTGTACAGAACTGGCAGATTCGTAACGGGTAGTGGAGGGCTGTGAAAGGACTAACTGTATCAAGCCCTGGGCTTTCTCCGATAGCATACTGAGGGCGGGCGAGCTCTGCGTCACTTAATTAATCAATTATTAAATTACTTAATTCACCCTAAAGTTCCATTCTTGGGGTCTTCCCCTTTTTCTTTTTTATCTCCTTGGCCCCGCGGTCCATTGTAAAAAGCAAAGAGGTGCCGACGTGACCGCACCTGCTGTCAGATTGCCCGTTACGAGGTATCGGAATTACTTCCTTTTTGCGAAGTGGACAGAATTGGCATGTTTATTGCGCGAACTTTTTTTGATACAGAATGATATAAGAAATTAGTTTGAAACTGATTTGAAAGTGAACACAATGTATTTCTAGTTAATATTAAGAAAACGTCTGCTCATATTCTAGTTCCAGTGATATCGCATTATGAAATCTGTCCATACCATTTTTATATATGCAAGTTAGGAAAATGCTCTGCAACTCTCCCAAGTATATTCATCTATACAAGTTATTATATGATGTATACTTATTATAAAAAAACTCTTTTCATAACTATAGAAACGTGTTCTTATCAATTAAGCTTCATGATAGCGTAATCGTATTTTATAAATAGTATTGATTGTTATTTTATAAACTTTAAACATGTCATACTATTAAGCTAGAAAATGAGATAAAGAGAAAGATATGCAATACACTTTAATAAGATATGTTTTTTGAAAAGATTATCAAAATATTTGTATTATTTGAATCAAGAATAAAGAAAATGTAAAATCACCGGTAAAGATTGGGCCAAGTAAACGCAAACATACTAGTGCTAGGCCTCACAAGTATCAGAATGAATTGATGTACTAGCGAGAGAGGTCATGGATATGGACACCATCTGAGGGATAAAGTGCAGCTGTGCGTTTACTTTCTTACCTCCTCGTTCATCGAAGCTCTTCAGTGTACTGTATGGTACCAGTGCATGACTTCATCAGCCGTGGTTTCAAGCTGCGAATCGCGATCAGCCAGCTTTACGGCCTAGATACGGGATCACCAATAATGAGACTGACATTCCATCGATGCTCAACAGAGTGCTTTCTCAACGAGCCTCCTCGTCAACAATCACGCAATTGAGGCAAGGTTGGTAGACTTGAACATGCCATGCAACCTTCCTGCACCCGTTGGGATCGCGATTCACATTATAGCGAAAGATTCGCCTCAACGCTCTCATGCTCACCACATTTTCTTCCATCGAGAGAGATCACTTTTTCGGTCAGGTTTCAGGCATTCAACAAGCCTGGCACTTTATTTTTAGGTTGAGATTCGCCCAATATTCCCAAATCATAGAGCATCAAACTTGTGCATCCGACAAACCATACGAATTTTCCGCACACGCGAAAAATACGTTTCTTATTATGAAAACTGAAATGAATGTTTTTTCCCTATTCTAAACTATTAGTTATCGCTCTATTAATAGTACGTGTTTGAATGTACAGCTCTCAAAAACACTTCAATCTGATTTCCAAGTCACATTAGACTTATCTAATGTGATCTATCAAATACATCCATTTTTTGCCCCTGCATGATTATTCAATTTGGAACTGGACGAATTTTAATGGTGTTATATTTCAAGAGTTCTAAAATTGAAAGTTTCGAGATATAAGGAAAAAAAAATACCTATGGCACCCTTGATAAACCAAGACATTGAAAATGTTTTGAAAAGGAGATCATTGTGTAAATTCATAGTTAATAATGCGTGGGGTGTAGATGATACAAATGGATTTATCGAATCTTTAGTTTGTTAGATTATCTATTTATTAACTTCGCATGATGTACCTAGGCTGTAATAGTTTGATGTGAAATTTAAGTTATTTTAAATAATATTAAACTTTCAATCTGATATGTATTTAGTAACTTGTAACATTCTAGTTCATTAGAGTTCAAAAAAATGTTACTAATCATATGATAAACTACAAGTTTAAAACAATTCCAAAAGCTAAAAAACACAATTTCTTCGTAAAGATGTGGAATTTTTAATCTTGTATGATACATCTTCACATGTATCAAAGTTAATCACGTATTGAATCCAGCACAATAATATGTTGTTGAATATTGGATATAGTTATGATTTCACTTCAGTATTAATTTGAAGATAAAATGATAATAAACTCAAAATATAAATTTACTCCCAAATATTTGTATGAAACAATTACATTGATTGAGATTTATTGAAATCAATTCAAATTTATAATAATATGATCATGCAAACTTGCAGTTTATTCTTATTTTTTCTATGTAGAATAAAAGAAAATATTTTAATTTTTTATATCAAGTAAAACAAAGTCAAAGTTTGACATGTTTTTTCAAAAAATATATTCTATATGCAATTCAAGCATCAATTTGTTCTTAGGTGTTGTAGAATACTCTCAAAATTTCCAAACTCCTACCTGCATACAAAATAGAATTAAAATTTTTTCATTATATTATTATGTCAATATTATATTTTACATGATTTATCAATATTATATCAATTAAATATATTCATATATATGAAATATTTAGACAAATAAACATAATCTGAAAATGACTTTTAAAATGTGTAAGAAAATCAAGTGAACAGCAACAAAATATGCAAAGAAACATCAAGCCAAATAAGAATGAATACCAACTGAAAACATGTCATAGTTCCCTAGAGTAACATAACGGTATTTGTTTGGTTGCCGGTGTTGGGTTCATATACTCCAGGGGTTTTGCGCTGTATTGTTGCTTTTTTTCAATATAGTAGTAAACTTTTTCGTATGCTTTCTCGTGGATGTAGCACTCTGAAAGGTGAACCACGTTGTGCTTTCTCGTGGATGTAGCGCTCCGAAGGGAAAACCACGCTATGATCGTGTGTACTCTTGTTTGTCTATCTCATCGTTTCATTATCACTATTTTGCATACTTTGGTTTGACATTATTGTGTAAAATTAATATTAGTGTTCAGATTGTACTTCAACTATAGAAAAAATTATTGATGATGATGATTATTGATAATATTAAAATTAACTATCTTTATCTGATCAGATATATTGTTATGGATACTTTCATTCAAGCATGTGATTAATTATATTGGATGTACATACTAAAATGACATGAATCATATCTATAATTTATCAATATTTTATCTTGTACTTTTACTATGTGTTCGTCATGATATTGTGCTAAATATGGGTCCATCAATCAATTTCAGTAGTTGATATAATGAAGAGAAATTTTTTGGGAGATCATTCAACACTATAGGATGTATATTTTTTAAAATAAATTTATAGACATAAACCAATATAAATATTCATAGATTATCATCATGTGACTAAGAATCATATTATTCCATTTGACTCTTGATATTCAAAAGCTAAATTTCAAATTCTTTGATAAATGATATCAAAAAATTTGAATTTTTTTATCAAGCATATGAATCGTATTCAAAAGGTATAAGGTTTTAATTTAAATCTGATCTTTGATATCTTCAGTTGAAATCGACTTTGATGTAAGATATTTAAATGTATAATATAAGATTACATTTTTAATCTACAACAATGGAGCTTGACTGTACAGAGCTGATACACTGAAAAGTGGTGAATCACATGCTTCGGAGGTTTGGTAGAAACCTCGGACGACCAACCAGAGGACGAATTTCACTGACAGCGTTTGGCCTGAGAATGAGAGAGACGAAACTGGACGATAGAAGAAAGGCCCAAGCCTGCAGCGCAGGCGCAGGATTTTGTTATTTTACTGTGACCTCTGGCATCGTTTGGAGGACGATTGCACCGGTAGTTGGTGAGTTCACTCGCAACGATACGAGAGCACCACGAAGAAGCTTTGCGCATCGCACATCCGAAGGAAGAGGATTAGGAGTCTTAAATGGAATTACATGATGCATACGCGTGGGGGCAAGCTTCGCTTTGTCGATTGTCAGTCAGGACCTTTTGCGTTGTTCGGCGTAGATGCAGCCAACGATTCACATATCTTTAGACCGATACCTTTCACTCGAAAGGACGATTGGTCGAGTACAATGCCCAGGACGACTGTAAAATTGCTATACAGTACACTACGCTGACTGTCCAGACCTGTAGTATTGCAAGGTCTGCCATAGTCATCAGTCCTGAGGTGGATTCTGGCTGTGGTCCGAGAGGTCAAGCGAAACGGCACCCCGCTAGGGCGTTTACTCCCACACTCCTACGGTCGAAGTCGTGAGTCTTGTATGGCTGAATTGCCACTCAAATGCATGTATTTATGAAGGAAATCACGCCCGGTTAAATGCAACCGCAGTAGGTGTACACGTCGCATTCATCGGATCCTCGAGCTTCTGATCGTAGCGCCTGGAAGACGAGGTGAGGAGACCTGTAATTACCTCTCGCCGTTCCTCGTACACGGACTCAGCGATCGCGCCCGTTCTGCCACTATCGATACCGACCAGCGGTTGAGATTCGACCGTATGTCGGTGGATCACGGTCCAGCCACGGAGCTGACGCGGAAGTATAGACAGAGAGAGCAGTATAGAAGACCTCCCAATACATTGCTCTGGAGGGACCAGCCTTTCTTTACAAAACCCGAGACACCGAGACAGAGACACA